CGGTGCCCACCTGCTGGGGGGAGGGGGGGGGGGATGGAGGGCAGCTGAGCACTCCAGGTGGGGGCAGGCTGCAGGTGGACAGGACTCTTCCTGTTTGGACCTGGGCTGTGGGAACTCCTGGGCTCAGCACCAGCCGTGAGGGCGGGCTTGCTGCCCAGGAATCTGTCTGTCCTGACTCAGGAAGCCATGGGCTGCCACTTGAGGACGACCTGGTGACAGGGCAGGGGATGCAGAGGGCTAGGCCGACATGGTGAGGAGGTCTTGGCCTGGCCACCAGAGAAAGGGACACCAGGTGTGGGTCTAGCTCATCAGGCTGCTCACAGCGGAGCCCTGGCCTCCTCATCTCCTCCACCGGCAGGAGCCCGGCGGATGCCCAGCGCCCACACCACCTTTGGTGTGGGGGACTCAGTCAGAGACAGCAGCTATCATGAAGCCTAGTGTGCTCTGTCCCTCTGCTGCCCCATGCTGCTTGTCCCTTCCTGACCCTGAGCTCTGGGTAAGCAGCCAGGCATCCCCCTAGCATGGCTTATGTGGGCATCAAGGCCTGAGGGAGCCCAGGTGCCCCTGGAGCCACTAGGCTGGGGGACAGGAGCTGGCCTAGGGGCTCCCAGCTCTGGCCTCCCAGCACCACCTTCTAGCTCATTCTTAGACTCTGACCCGATCACCCTCTGGGCACAGGCCAGGCCTCTGAATAGCACCCAGTCCTGTGTGCCACCTGCCATGCCTGGGGCTCACAGAACACAGGAGTGCCATCTGCCCCGTGGGGGCTCAGTGTGGCCTTTGGGCTCCTCTTTGGAAGCCAGACTGCCCTATGATGCTATCCACGCAGCCCTGAGCCTCAGACACTCACACCGCCTCGTGTTGGGCAGCCAGTGGCTAGACCAGAGGGACACGTGTTTGCGCTGAGTCCCGGGCAGGGCCACTGAGGGACACAGCAGTGGAGGGGACAGGTGCTAGGATAAGGGGCCATGTTGCCTCCAAGTTGGGGGTAGGGAAGGATGGAGTAGG